GGTCTACAAGGATAATGGCAACTAAAAATCCAAGCAATAGTGCAGAGGCTACCTTTAATGCCCTTCTATGATAATGAGATTGACAACTACCTTGCATGCCATCCTAGAGCCGTCATCCAGTGGCTGATGGAAACAGAAGCAGACACCCACAGCTAAACACTGAGCCAAACTCCTAGAATCCAGTTGCAGAGAGGGAGGAGTGATGAGCAAAGGGGTCAAGACCATGCTGGAGAAACCCATAGAAACAGCTGACCTGAATAAGGCGGAGATCATGGACCCCAGTCTGATAACTTGGAAACCAGCATAGGACTGACCCAGACCCTCTGAACGTGGGTGTTAGTGGGACTGGGTAGTCTATGGGGCCTCTGGTAGTGGATCAGTATTTACCCCTACTATTAGAATGGACTTTGGGAGCCCAGTCTACCTAGAAAGACACTCTATCAGGCTACAAATATGGGGGAGGGCCTAGACACTGCTCCAAATGATATGACAGACTTTGAAGATCTCCCAGGGAAGGTCTCACCGTCCCTGGGGAGCAGAAATTGGATGGGGTAGGGGTTGGTTCAGGGTAGAGAAGGAGAGGAGATTGAACTGAGATTGGCAAGTAAAACAAGTTTGTTTGTAATTTAAATTAAAAAATCATCTAGTGGCTTCATACACACACACGTACACATGTACGTACATACATACATACATACATACATACATACATACATACATAAAACTCAGAGACCCTGGATCTGAGAAAGAACAAAATGAGATACACTGGGGGAAGGGGGACAGGCATTGCAGAAAAGAAAGGCACAGGGAAAAGTAATTATACTTTATAAAGTAAATTATACTTTAATTTCTTTTTTATTCATTTTTTTTTTCATTTTATATACCAATCCCAGTTACCACTCCTACTCCCCACCTGTCCCCATCCCACTCTCCATCCACTCCTCAGATGGGGTAAGGCTTCCCTTCAGGAGTCAACAAAGTCTCGCATGCCAAGTTGAAACATGACCAAGCCCCTCTCCCTGTATCAAGGCTGAACAAGGTATCCCACCATAGTGAATGGGCTCTAAAAAGCCAATTCATGCATATAGGATAGGTCCTGGTGTCACTGCCATCCCCTCCAACAGATCAAGCCACATAACTGTTACCCACATTCAGTGGGCCTAGTTCAGTCCCATGCAGGTTACTCAGCTGTTAGTCCATAGTCCACAAGCTCCCACTAGCTCAGGTCAGCTGCCTTTGTGGGTTTCCCAAAACTTGTCTTGACCCATCGTACTCAAATGATTCCTCCTCCCTCTCTTCAACTGAACTCCAGGAGCTCAGCCCAGTGCTTGGCTATGGGTCACTGCATCTGCTTCCATCAATTACTGGATGGTTCCATGATGGCAATTAGGGTAGTCACTAATCTGATTATAAGGCAAAGCCAGTTCAGGCACCCTCTCTACTGTTGCTAGAAGTCTTAGCTGGGGTCATCCTTTTGGATTCCTGGGAATTTCCCTAGTACCAGGTTTCCCACCAACCCCAATATGGCTCCCTCTATCAGGGAATATCTTTCATTGCTCTCTCTCTCTCCCCCTCCACCAACTCTGCCACCTCAAACTCAAAGGTTTCCATCCCCTCCTACTCTCTTCTACTGTCCCTCCCAGTTTACCCAGGAGTTCTTATCTATTTTCCCTTCCTGGAGCACACCATGTGTGTACCTGTAAGGGTCCTCCTTTTTACCTAGCTTCTCTGGGGTTGTGGATTGTAATCTGGATATCCTTTGCTTTGTAACATAAAAAAATGATTTAAAAAATCCTTTAGACTGAAATAGTTTTATTTCTCCATGTTAATATCAGTATAACTTTATCAATACCTAATCATTTATTCTATTTTTATTCTCATATTGATTCATGTTTACATAAAAGATTCTTATTAAACCTAATTTTGGAGCATGTCAAAGGACACTTGGAGGAGGCATGAGAATTACACCCAACAGATGACAGGGTTATTTTAGTTTATTAAGGATGTCAAGCACATTTTGACTGAGGGCTTTTACTCAACAAAAATGTACTTCTCAGAGCTCTACAGACTGAGAATACCAAGTTCAAGATATTAAAGTATTTGGTGTCTGAAAGAAAATACCTTCAAGTTCACATACGGCATCTTCTCCTTATGTTCTCATGGGGAAGTGCCATATCAGAACCTCTCTTGGAAGGGCATTGGTCCCATTCATGAAAGCTATGCCACCATGAATTCATACTGCTCCTAAGTATGCATCATTTATTATTGTCACCTCAAGGAATAGGATTTCAAAATAAGGTTTAGAGGAAAACAAACACACAAAAAGAGGACTTTATACCCTGTTTTGTGGAAATTATTTTCATCTAGTGATGTGTGGGAAATACAGAGATGATATCCCTTTTCTATGCTAGAAAACTAAATATGGATTAAAATGATGCATATGTGTGCTACAGTTATAGGACTGTTCTGTGAGACACTTGTAAAGTGTCACTTGGGCTAAGCTCAACTCCATGTCCCAAATAGCTTTCTTTAAACACTTCTCACTAGGTTGCTCATAACAGTTTTTCTGAGTTTGGAAAGGAGAATTGACACAGTATCCCTGCTTTAGTTTTTCAATGATGATGTAGGTTCAGAGCCCTCTTTTCCCTCTGCAGGTCTATCATGTCACCAATGATAGTAGTTACCTTCATGGCTATAGACAACAGGATTCACTGGTTCTAGATTCTCTAACGTCTTTGCCAGGTTCAGGGTTGGGAAGTTTGGGGAATGTGGAATGTAAACATTTCTCCTGTGAGTTCCACATGGCAGTAAGGCTGTCTGCCTAGAGATGGGCAAAATCATAGTGAGAGTTTCTAACCTTGCACATCCCATTTTCCATATTCACTCTTACTTTCTGGCCCCATGTCCTGTGACTGGAGGCTTGCGCTTGGTTCTAAATATGCAGCTATATCAATATTGTTTTTTACCAGTTTCCACTGGTAATCACTATCCATAGTGATTTCCTTCTGGAAGAGAGAAAATATCTTAGCACATTGGTACTTCTATAACAAGACGCTATAGTAATTTATGAATAATTATGTGTTCTTATTTCAGTATACTGGTGCCTGTGAATCCAAGACTCAATAAGGCTCCAACCTTTCATTATAAGAGAGCCCTTACGATCTCATAACCTACTAATATGACAATAGATATTGTTGTGTTGAGCATTAGGCTTAAATATGAACTTTAGTAGAGAAAGAAACATTCAGGCCACAGCAGTGAATCAAGTAATTTACCAGATAATAAGCACATTTTGAATTGGCCAGAGTGAGCCTCATGTTTCAAACACAGGGCTTTTTGGCCTCTTTTGAAGTCCAATATAAGTCTTTATTTCTATATACCCCTCATGTTGCTCTGTCCTGATTTTTTTCAAGTAATTGTTTATTACTTAAAATGAAAATATAAATCTATCATTCCCCTTTCCTTTTCTCCCATTTCTAGCCCCTCGGATATATACCTTCATCTTGCTAGCTCTCATATTCATGGTCACTTTTTTATTGTTATTTGTATCTAACACTAAACAAAGAACTATGAACAACTGAGGAGCATTGAGAATGGGAGAAGCAGTGTTCCCCAGGAAAGACCACTCCATCCTAATATTTTATAGACAATATATAACATGGGACAATCTTTCTGTCATAGACTAGTTCAGGGTTAACTTTTGCTCCTACCATGACTTTTTAAAAGCTCACTCCACAGCATGCTTTTTAACCTATAACACTGTCTCTCATCAATGGTGGAGAAAGTCTGGTTGAACTTTATTTTTATTTAGCTAATTAACCTTTGATATTCTCTTTAATATTTATATTTTATGAAAACACCATGTTCACCTTTTGAAGTGAACGAGTTTGCTAAATTGTTATTATCCCCTACACTTTGTGGGAGTGATTAAGGAGATTGGTGGGTGTCATTTTCCAGAAATTGAGTATTTTTATTTGTAAAGATTTTCAGTAGAATTATGAAAAGTTATTTGATTTCTTCATAGCAGAAAAAGTGCTTTATATTTTGGAATTCTTTATTCTTGTCTAACTGGGAAGAATGAAACAGAGTCTTAGTTTTGAAAACTAATCCTAGAAAACCTGTCTTTTAATTTCTGACACTCTTTTTCTCTTTTTGTATGCACTTATAGGAGGAGTGATGTGGATTTGGCACTGGGAATTAAATACTTTCCAGGTCCTGGTTTGTTTGATTTTTCACTTTTAACCCTTTGTTTTGACTGTAGCCATTTAAACTTTTCACTATTTGGTTCTTTTCTGTCTCCTTTATTTTTATTACAGCTGAAATATGAGCTATACAATGATTTGGTTTTTAATATTTTATATTTTTTATATGTGTAGTGGTGCTTTTCTTGCATGTTCGTCTATACATCACATGTGTACAATGCCCAATGAGACCAGAAGGTACCAGATGCCCTGGAACTGGAGTTACAAATGGTTGTTAACCAGCATGTGGGTGCTGAGAATCGAACCTGGGTCCTCTGGAAAGGCAATAGTGCTCTTCTGAGCTATCTTTCCTGCCCATCTACAATTGTTTTATAACTGACTATATTGGCATAATCCATGCCAAAGAGAAATCCGAGAGGAAAGCCTCATTCATACTATTATTTTGCTGACAATATGAAATTTAAAAGACAGGGTTCCTATCACTTTAAAGGTGTACCACGAGAGTAAGGCCTCAACAGAAAAAACTGTGGTCCCAACGGAAAAAAAGGTGTGATTCTGAGCAGTCTTTAGAATTCAAGGACCCTTATCGCTCATTGGACACAATGCATGTCAATCACTATGTCTCAGCAAATGAGCTTACAGTTCTGGTGACGTATGAGAGGGACCATTATTACTCTTCAAGGCTCCGCCCCCTCATACCTAGTCCTCAGCCATCTTGTGGCAGCCTCAGTCAGCTGCTCCTCCGTGTGCTGGTTAGCCCTTCCTTTTTAGGTGTTCCACACGTACCAACTCCATTGGTTCACTAGTGGAAAACGTAAGCTACTGCTCTCACAGCCTGTAAGGAGGGACTTTCGGTCAACAGCCTCCCTCCACTTCGTGGTAGTCACCCTAACAACGCCTCATCCCACCAACACCTTCAAAGCTCGAAGTTTCAATAAGATCTTAACTGGCAGGTATTTTGTGTCATGTCTGCTATTGTAGAGCTTGAGCCTGGATTACCTGACCAAGAGCAAGAAGGTGGTGGGATGGGGCATGACTCCAGACAAATTGTCTTACATGTGCTACCAATCGAAGATGCTTTTGACGACATAGATGGAACCGTAGCATTTCTGGTTTCTCAGGCAGTCATGAGAGCAATTGCAGAGGAAGGGTGTGGGCAGGAGGAGATATGGCCTGATGTTGAGGAGATCTGGCCACATTTGGAAGATATCTGGCCTGAAGAGGAGGAGGTATGGCCTGATGTTGAAGAGGACTGGTATGTCTGGAATGACCAGGAGAATGAGGACATTCAAAGGGAAGCAGAATACAACCAGTACTACAATAATGAAGATGAGGATGACGACGACGACGACGATGATGATGACGATGACGACTATGAATACGAAGAGGAGGAGGAGGAAGAGGAGGAGGAGGAAGATGAGGAGGAGGGAGAAGAACAAGATGAGGTTCAGGGGGAGGAGATCATCCTGCATGCCTGTGAGTTCACCTAAGGGGGGTTGAGGTCCCGATAGAGAAAGTTTGTTTCTCTTAAATACACCATGCCTCTAAAGTGTATACATGCTATTAACGACCACATTCTGCTTCACCCAAGGCAAGGCGAGTAGAATTCAGTCCTTGAGAGCCCACAGATACAGGAGAGGGAAGGACTCTCCAAGAAGTACAGACCTGACAAAGGAAGCATAGAATTGGGAGGGTGAGTGTCTAATAGGAGGAGCTACCTCCAGAATGGCTGTCTTTTGTAACATCCCAAAAGGTATCCCAAGGTACATTACACAGCTCAGCGGAGGCTGAGGGAGACATATTCTAGTACAGTGAGTCCTTGACTGAAGCACTTCCATATTCTGTCAAGTGCTGATTTTTTTCAACAAAGGGAACAAGGCCACCAAGCATCAGCAAAGCTTTTTACCATTCATCATTTGTTGGCATTGGTAGCTCACTTGCAGGCCATAAATAGAAAAATTGTGGTTCAAGTGGAAACCCAATTATAAATAAAATACCCTGCTATTGGGGTATTTTGGGGGAGTGATTTGCTGCTTTTTACCAATCTGTTTGATAAGATTACCAATTTAGTATACCAATTTAGTATACATCCTACAGTAGATGACTGTTGGTTGTTAAGGAATATTTAGGAAGGAGCATTGGAGGATGGAGATACCAGAGGGAAACAGCAAGTAAATTGGATATATTGTTTTGGGATGAATGTTTTAAGAATGCAAAGATGATCTGATGTAGGATGATCCAAGACAATGCTGAAGTGCTATGAGAATACTTGAAAGTTATACAAATCTGATATGAAGAGGTTGGGGAAATCAATGAGATAGATGCACTAGAGAATCTGTCTTTAAATATAACAAATGCTTTTTCAATAAAGCCCTAAAAATATTTAAAATTCATCAAGATAGAAAGGACTCTAATTCCTTCCAAAGGAGTAGAAATAATAAAAGGGACAGGATGTTCATGGTATTAGGAAAGGGGAAAAGCACCCTAAAGAACTATATGAAGCAGCAGAAATATGAAGTTCAGGAGTGTATCTACCACTGGGAAGCTGCCAAGACTACTGGATTTTGTTTGCCTACTGCTTTAAATGTAAGGACATGAAAATTTTAAGAAACATGGTTTATTAGAGGATAGAATATTTTAACATTTAACATAGAATAAAAATTGTATCTTTGCAAGGTCATGTTATAAACAGAAAAAAACAAGGCCTTTCTGGTATTAGAGACCCTTTCAGGGTCAGCTGATTGAAGGCATTAGATGATACAAGTCTCCTGATACCTAGGTGTTTGAGTTTCAAGAAGAAAATATGCTCAATACTTTTGTTAAGAAAACAAAGATATGACATGATAGACCAGTTTCTTAAGATTAAAAAAAAAGGAGTAGTTCATGTTACTGTTTTTCAGTTGTTAATTATCTGTAATTCTTCCTACAGATTGAGGGCAAAGGAAGCCATAGATGAAGATGGAATCCAATGAATCGGTTCTTCGTGAGATCGTCTGAATTCATTCACAGATGAAAATTATCACCAGTGATACTGTTGTAAACTTCTTCACCCAAAAAATATACACCCTGAAAACTTCCCCTATTGTTTAATCATTCCTTAAATTAAAAATAATTTTAAATGCATAAATTGTAGAGGTTTTTCAATAATACTAACTCAAGTTGACTGATGTATATTTTTGTTTTAGCCTACCAGTTCTGGAAGCGGGTCACTTTTAACTGTTTTAAGTACTCTTATTATACTCTCAATTAATTGCATTAGTAAACTTAAACCATTTATTGAAAAAACAAAGATGGCATAAAACCTACCCAGACTCTCTGAACATGGGTGTCAGTTAGGAGGCCTGGGCAGTCTAAGGGACCTCTGACAGTGGAACCAGGATGTATTCCTGGTGCACGGAAGGATTTTGGGAGCACATTTCCCATGGAGGGATACTCCCTTAACCTAGAGGCAGGAGAGAAGTCCTAGTCCATACTCCAAATGACTTGACAAATTTTGATGACCCCACCTGGAAGGCATCACCCTCCCTGAGGAGTGGATGTGGGGAGGTTGGATGGAGGGTTGATGAGGGACATGGGAGGTTGTAAGGGAGAGGGAACTGGGATGGTATGTAAAATAAGATTGTTTACAAATTACACAAAAGAAAAAAAGATGGAGGTCTATCACAGTCTGGATGCTATTCACAGAAACTGACAAGTGACCCAGTTTGTCTGGAAACAAGATAAAGCCCTTGAACACAGGGAGCAACAAAAGCCACAGCAGCACCTGGGAATTTGTCAGCAAAGGCAACTCCTTGGCTCCATTCAAGATGCACTAGATAGTACATTTTCCAATTGGCCTGACAGAGCCCCTGAAGGCCTTTAGTTTGTTCTTAATGTAACATAATTTGAAAACTGCTAATTCAGAATAATGCTCCACTATTGGACCAGCATGATATTGGCTTGAACACCTTTAAAATAAATTGAATAAAACAGTCCATACTGGATCCTGGATAAGGGATGGCACAGGTAGATCCTACAATTCTGAGAGGTCTAAAGACACAGAGCAAGACCTAAAAGGCAAATAATGGATGGTGTAGTGGAGAAAACATATAAGGAAAAAACCTACTTTCTGGATACATTATAACACACATATGAAGTTTTAAAACATACAAAACAACTATATGTATATAAACATATATAGTAAAGTGAATGTGTGTAATGCATGCTTAAGTAGATGCAAAGAATCTTCTATGAGAATATAAATCCCTATTTAGGATTACTGGATATATTTTTTAGGAAAGGAGAGTATTTAATTGAGTAGGGATACATGGTGGACTTCAACTACATCACAGTATATTTCTTAGGTTAGTTCAAGGGTGTATACATGTAAGTATTCACTATACCTTTGTATGCATTAGCAGTGTATCAGGAAGGGAAATGAAAAACAGGAGGGGTAAAATATTACAAGGCCTGGCTAATCTAAGGGACCTCTGACAGTGGAACCAGGATGTATCCCTGGTGCAGGAAGGGACTTTGGGAGCACATTCCCCATGGAGGGATACTCCCTTAACCTAGAGACAGGAGGGAGGGCCTAGGCCCTACCCCAAATTACTTGACAGATTTAGATGACCCCTCCCGGAAGGCACCACCCTCCCTGTGGAGTGGGAGAGGAATGGGATGGGAGGGTGGTGGTGGGGAAATAGGAGGGTGAGAGAGAGGGAGGGGTGGAGCCAGGGGTGGAGGGAGGTACAGAGGGAAGGGCAGAGGGAGGGATGGAGGGAAGGGTGGAGGGAGGGACGGAGGGAGGGGCACAGGGAGAGACAAAAGGAGGGACAGAGAGAAGGGTGGAGGGACGGAGGGAGGGGCAGAGGAAGGGACAGAGGGAAGGGCTGAGGGAGGGACAGAGGGAGAGGGAACTGGGATTGATATGTAAAATAAGAAAAAAAGTTCAAAAACTGGAGGAAAAGATGGATGTGACTAAAGTAGAGAATCAGAAGAAAAGGGACAGGATTTTAAGGGCGGAAAGCTATGTTTTACCAGTATTATAAAGCTTCATAGGTACTCATTTGCTTTAATACCTTCTGTTGTAGTCTATGGGAATATATTTTGTAGTCTATGGGAATATATCTCATTTTTACAATATTAAGTAGCATTATTCACATGTATACCATTGTCATTTTCTAGAGGTCAACTTTCTAAATTATTAGAACCTTTTAAAAACTTGATCTTTCTTTAAGTACCCATCATTGTGTTTTCCATTTGGTAGACATTTGATAAACATTTCTTACAAAAAAAAAACTTTCTTAATGCACACAGAATTCTATTTTAATTCTATTTTGGGTCATCAATGTTGACATTTAAACATGGGATAATAAGGACCAAGACAGAAATAGACAGAATGGATTCATTATAGTGTCATATAACACAAAAGGGTAAGTATAGTCTAAAATAATTTATTGCAAATATTTTAAAAACTAGAGTAGGAAGTTTTTAAGGCTCCCAACACAGAAATTCAAATGTTTGAGAAGAGAGTGTGACTTAGCTTGATTTTTTCATGAAACATTATATATAAATACATGTGTCAAACTATCACACTGTACCCCATAAATAAATGCTACTAAACACTCATTAAAACCAAAGATAACATAATCTACATAGTACATATTATCAGGAACTTGACTAATTTATGGCAAGCAGATGAGACAGAGACATTGTAAGTCCTTTGTCATATTCACACTGAGAGTCCAAATAGGAATTTACCTTAGTGTCACTGAAGATATTTCCAGTAATTTTAAATGGTTAGTGCTGAAATTTCTGCTAATATAATTTAAGACTAACTTCTAAATCTTCTGTGAATTATTTTGACATTCTTTTCACTACACAGGATGTATAGCCACAAATCTCATTACTTAGGGATGGACCTGTAGTTTAGATAACCAAGTATTTTTTTTTAAGTTTATCTTTTGTTAACTTCATAAATATATACAATGTTACTCTACTCTTCACATACACCTTCTTACAGGATCCTCAACATGCCTCTCCGAACATTATGTCCTCTACTTTTATAATCTGCATTCATGATTGTGGGGCCATCTACTGGAGCTTGGGCAACCTACCATTGGCCACACCTGAATCTTTCTGCTAACAGTCATCAACTGCCAGTAACTCCTCAGCCACAAGTGGGGAACTAATGAGATGCCCCACAATCCCTGCTGGAATTTTGACAGTCTTAATTTTGTGCATGTTTTATCCAGGCAACCACAACTGCTGTGAGTTCATGAGTGCAATAGCTTTGTCATGTCAACAAGACTATTTTGCAGCAGTCCTCCCTAATCCCTAGCTCGTACAATCTTTCTGCTCTCACTTATATAATATCCTCTGAGTCTTCGGTGGGGAGAGAATGGGATATAATTCTTCCTTTTAGGGCTGACCACTATATAGTCACTACTTCTTTGAACTTTGAACTGTTGCAAGCCTCGATGCTATTCCCTATTCACTACAAAAAGAAGCTTCTCTAACAACACAGAATAACTTATGGTTGTGAACATGAGTATTTATAAAGTGATTTGATCTTCTGCCCACTTAGCAAAATAATAGAAGCAGATTTTCCTCTTGGATCTATGACCTCCCCTGCCATGGAAACATAGACAGGCTTAAGCCCCTCTGTGAATGGGTTTTAATTCCAATTAGAAATCTATGGGTTACCACCATAATATTCATGTCACTTTTGCACCAATAAACACATCTAGCCAGGACAGTCAGTATGATAGCTTACAAGATTCATACTTTGGTAAGATTGCTGATAACTTTGCTCCCATAGAAACCTGCACTATGTAAGCTAGCCCGTAGGGAAGAAGCTTCCAGGTCATAACCACCTTAGGTTTGTTTCGATTTTTTTTTTTTTTTTTTTTTTTTTTGTCCTGTGTTGAAAGTGTGTGATGTCTTCAACAGTAGGAACTTACCTTTAAGTTCTGGTGGATAACTAAGAGCAATGGCAATAGCCTAAATTCATTGAGGATTCTCTGGGCTGCCTATGACTACAAATTGTAGGGTTTAATCTCCCACTTGATACTAGGCTTTTCGTTTGATACCCTATGACTTCTCAGAGCAGCATTATCCTATTACATAGGGCAACTCCAAATAAAACTGTGTTTAACATACATATTTTAGGAATCTTTTAAAATAATAGGTTTCTCTATGGCCTTTTCAAGAATTCTTGGTGATAGATATTCCTCCTGCTGTATCTTACCCTATTCTTCCATCCATCCCCTCCCAACTTAAACACTCCCCACTAGTCTCTTTTCTCCATTCATATACACTGTACTCTGCCAGTTCTGACTTAATCTTTTTCTCACCTCTTTCATGGCCTCTCTTTCTAGTTTCATGACTTCTACAGGCATTCCAATTTAAACACACAAATCTGAAACTTTGATGCTAGGATCTACATATGAGAGACAACATATAGCATTTCTTCCTTCTGGGCATGGTTTACCTTATTCAGTATATGTTTTCCACTTTCATCCAATTACCTAGAAATTGTATAGTTTCATTTTTTTATTTACAGATGAATAAACGTTCATTGTATATAGGTAACACATTGTCATTATCCATTCATAAGTTGATGGATATTTGGGCTGTTTCCATTTCTTGGACATTGTGGATAGAGGAGCAATTACATAGATGAGCAAGTATCTCTGTTGCAGGTTATAAAGTCTTTTGGTTACATGCCCAGGAACACTAGAGCTTGTTCATATGTTAAATCTACTTCTAGAAATCCACATTGATTTTCATCATGTCTGCATTGTTTCACATGTCCACTGACAGAATAATGACTACTTTTCCCCCAGCTTCACCAGCATTTTTGTCATTCAGTTTTCAATCATTTCTTAAGCCATTTTACCTGGAGATAGAAAATTTAAAAAAAAAAAAAGATTTTTAAATTACATTAACATGCTTCCTAAGATGTTGAACAATTTTTTACAATATTTCTTAACAGTTTGTGTTTAT